ACTACTTTTACACGAGACGTAATCAATATTGGACGTAAATCATAGAACGCAAACAAACATTTCATGTAAGATTAAGTGTTCTCCAACCGAAACATCAGCTAGTCGACGAAGAGTACGTTTGATTGAATTGATTTTCACGTTTCATTCAACTGGTTCTTATGTCAAAAGGCCCGCTTACATGTGTCGGTCTCAGGGAACCGAAATTTACATGACTTTTTAGTAGTGTGAAGTTAATATTTAGAGTTTTGATGTGTCCGGATTTTTGTGGATATAGGGAAGGCTTTCAGTCTGTGGCTGTGGCAAAACACGAAAAATTTAAGATATTCAAATATGGCGCAGTTGTCACGATTTAAAATTAAAAAAAAAAAATACATATCATGACTCTTCGAAATAGAAATTTTGAAGAATTATCAAGTGAATTTTTATAACAAGTCCAAAGGAAGTTGATAAAAACTCCCAGGTAGTTTTGAAAAGAAATATTTTAAGAAAATTGTAAGAATTACTAAAGATGAATTTGTTGGTAATTCTTAAACGACTCTTATGGGGATTGTGATTACAATTCCAGGAAGTTCTAAACCAAATTTGAAGTAATTCCAAGCACCATTCTAATACAATTTGGAAGATAATTCAAAGTGACTTTTCCCTACGACAAACTAAATGGTAATATGGTGACACAACCCATAATGATGACCTTCTGCTGAAAATCTCTTATGTGTTTGACATGAAAGAGAGTGCACCAAAAAATCGATTATAATTGTGCAGATTTCCAAGCTAGTTTGAAGATAGTTTCAAGGGAATTGCCAAGGTAATTCATTAGAATTTTGAGAGAATTTGAAGTATTTTCTGGAAGGGTTCCAAAGAAGAAAATTTACAGATAATATTTCCAAAGAAATTCTGAAAGTGTTTCAGGAGATTATTTAAAATAATCAAAAGGATTTCTTAGTAGAATTCAAAAATAAATCCAAGCAAATTCCTATTTCATGCATTTTGTAAAGAATTTCAATATAATTCAGTGGAAAATTCACATGTTATTTTAAGAAAATTTTGGGAGATTACTTTCTAAATTCTAAAGGACATTCCAAGACCAGTGACATCCTGGAAATCAATTTCCACTAATTTCACCAAATTCAATGGAAGCCTTTTTAGGTTTAGAGAGGAAATAGTCAAGACCAGAAATATTCTTAATATATCATGCCCCGGAAATTAACTCTGTTAAGAACAATCAATAAATTTAAAGAAATTTCGAATGGATGCTGATAGATTTTTTTTAGAGAGGTTGGAAAAAGCTGCCAGAGCAGTCATAAAATACTTCCAAAGTTAAAAGAAACTGCTAGAGGAAGCTGACAGATTCCCAACATCTAAGACGGATGAAATCTCCGGAACAAGTCTGTGGAGCTTGGAATGAGCTTTCAAGATAAATCGTTAGAATTGGCCAATGTCAGTCAGAAGAATATCCTTCACGGGAGTTCCGAATAATAGGAAAACATGATTCATATTCACCATTTCAGAAAAAGAAAAGTAGATAGGAGGCAGAATATTTTTTGGTACAATCAATGTTTGTATGTAAAATGGGGGTGATTCAGATTGTATAGTAAACTACAGAGACGATGTTTTATAAGAGACGCGCGGAGAGAATAAAAGTAAATCTGGTTGCACGGCTAACTAAGTTATTCTGTCTAAGGGCGTAGCCAGGTTTCGAGCTAGCGAGGGGCGAAAAAAAATTTACTAAGGAAAATTTGGCCGAATGCCATTTCACCAAAAGCCTTTGTGTTGTTGAGTTTGGGGGGAGGCAGCTACGCCTATGATTTTGTATGCAAGGTTTGGAAACCCGAAATTTTGTGTTAACTTCGAGTGACTTTTAAATAGAAAAATTCCATTGAAATGCACGGCATCCTTCTGTAAAAATACATCGAATAAAATGTGACAAAATGTCAGTTTCTTCTCGTTTTCCAAAGAACAGCGCCGTCCAGGGTTACTTTCACTCACTTGCTATAAAAAAATGTTTTTCAGAATTATGAAATCATTCGATGTTATAATGATAATTATTACTTGTAAGCTACAAGAAGAGATCGTTAATTATGTGTTTGACACATAAAACCTGTCAATATTGCTTTCAGTGTGTCGCAATAAGCGATTTTACTATTCGTGAGCGCTCACTCTGAGTGAACGCTCACGAATCATACGATCGCTGATTGTGACGCTCTGCAAGCGAAATTGACATGTTTTATGAGTCAAACACATACTTTTACACCCTGTTCTTGTTACTACAAGAACAACAAATTGTTACATCATCTAATAATTTCATAATTCAGAAAAAAAAAACAATTTTTTATAGCAAGTGAGTGGAAGCAACCCTGGCGCCGTCTGAGAAAAGTGGAATCAATTCTGTCGGTTTCCTCCCGGTGAAAGCGTGACGGATAACTCTAGATTATGTAGCGTAAGTAATCTGATAATTGATTGATGATTTCCGGTTGAAATTTTTGCTCCACAGTGCTCAATCGGTTCCAAATTGGGCCCTGATTAGCCTCCCAAAATTCGAACTCATTTAGTGAGAAACTGACTTGGCACAAACCATTTGAAGTTTATATGGGAATTACGAAGGAGAAACCATAATTTCGGTTCATATCTATCTCAAAATAAGCCGGTTCACTCTACTTTAGAAAATGTTAACTGAGCTAGTTGAAACTTTTCGAACAAATTTAAGGAACAAAAATTATTAATGATTCAAGTCCCTGATGTCTTATGATTGTGCTCAATCAGAGGGCAACATTGGTGTTTATGGCGCGTAGAATAGAGGACAAAAATCATGACTACTATGTCACACTGCAGAATACAGTGTTGCCCAAAATACAGTTGCTTCATCTTGCCATAGGATTATCAATCTCTTAAACAATTAATAACTATTTAATTTGACGTTTGGCTGAAAAACGATTTTCTGTTAAGTTGTAGCTGATAAAAATTCTCATAAGAATAGTAACCAAACAACACACTTCCATCGAAATGAGTTGCTGCAACTTGATTGTGACTGGAATAAGTTGCACAAAAGTAACCACAATTGTTCAGTGACAAGTGTGCTGCTAGGGTAATAGTCTATTTTGCGGAACTCTGTTGATGAAAAAAGTTAGAGGTAAATGAATGTAAATGAATGCACGAAATAAATGAAAATGATTTTCCATGCCTGGTTATAGAATTTGCTAACAGTACAATATGTAAAAAGGCTAGAAGATAATGAACAAAAAGTTTTGTTTTCCTATAGTAATTTCCATATAAACTTCAAAGGGTTTGTGCCTAGTCAGATTCTTATCATATGAGCCTAAACTTTTGGAGGCTAATCAGGACCCGATTTGAAACCGGTTGAGCACTGTGGAGCGAAAATTTCAAATTTTGCATCAGTCTAGTGGCCACTCTTTGAAGAGAATGTACACGCTAACTTGAAAGTACCCATTAATGAATAAAACTTCAGCCATTTGAAAAAAAATTTGCTTAGCTCAATAATGGGTAAATTTGTTACCTATTTAATAAGTACCTGTTACCTACAGTCGGTGTATAATGAGCCACGCCAAGAGTGAAGCCAAGTCTACCTATTGAACTGTCAAACCGGCTACCTATCGTGCAAAGTAAACAAACATTACGATGCTATGAAAGGTCCACGAAAGGTATTGCAATAAAATATAAAATATAATCGAAGAAATTATCATATACACGCAGTGAGCATTAAATTGTCATGGGTGTACGTTTGGTAACGATCAGTAATGAGAATTTCTACTATTTTTTGTTAAAATGATTAGACAAAATCACTGATATAATGATTTACAACAGCCGCTATTTTTTTTTGCTCGCTAGAAGTGATTTGAAGTTGATGTAGCAGTCCTCTGTTGCCAAGTGAAAAGAAAGGGAATCTTTCGAAAACCGTGATGCAAGTTCAACTGTTTTTCTGTTGGCGTGACTCATTATACACCGACTCTACTGTTACCCATTTAATTTCCAATACTTAGTATACATTTTTCCCATTGATGAGTTGGGTTACTTTACTAGAAAAGTGAAAAAAATTTTACTAATTAATGGGTTATTTCAAGTTAGTGTGTAGATGAAGAGCATCGATCGAAAATTTTAAATTTTTTTGAGCTCAAACTTTTAAATGTCATTACGTTTTTCGACTATGACAGCTTCCCTAGTATCTTGCATCATCCTGAAACGAATCAAAATCATTCTAACCTACAATCACATATGCTGGCAACTTGAAATACTGCAGAAGCACCGTTGCACATTTAATGATCCACATCAAACTGAAGAAACTAGAACAAACCACACCGCCATGCGGAGTCTACCAAGTGGACCAATCCATTGCGTCTCGAATCTTTTTGATCAACTTTCAAAGGGCTCCACCAACCCAAACCAGACTTGGTGCATCAATCACGCTAATTAGAACAGAACGTCGTGACCTGGAAAGTTTTGACGCAAAATTATGACACCCTTCTTGCGCGGACGTTTTACAGATATTCGTAGACGTCTTCGTTTGCCACCCGTCACGAAGAAATGCAAACCTCCAAGAAAGAGAGGGGACAAAATGTGGTTCACTATCAGTCGGTCAGTTGGATTTGACCGTGCTCGTCGATTGCCGCATGACAGCGCAGTGTATGTGTGCTCGTGCTCTGTTATCGACAGGTTTGAACTTCACACATGGTTTTGCTCCGCGGTTTGAAAATCAACCATGAGGAACAGACCAAAAACAAACAAAAAAAAAGTGAGTTAAGGTTAGCCAATACGAAATGCCCCTATGATGTCGTGTGAAGCAGTTGACTGATTTTTAGATGACCATTTTGGGATCCTCTTACATACATTTTGAGATGGCTACCCCTCGCAGGCAATAAAAAAGGTGGCTTTTTAATTGCGCCCAATGCTTGTGTTACGTCGCGTCGGTGGCTGATGTTGATTATTACAAAAAGCTCTTAGGTATCAAACCCAGCTGTCCCGAAATCACCGCTCCCACGCATACCTACCTGCTTGAGCTGCCACTGCAATGTTTCCACTTGCGTTTGCAGGATCACAGATTCCACATTGGAATACATGCCGGGAGCACCATTCCCTGCGCCGCTTCCTGTAGTTCCTCCACCGGTGAGCCCCAGTCCAAGGGTGGTAAGACTGCTGCTACCGCTTCCGGGTCCGCCATTGCTGCCACCGTTCATCACACCGTTGATAGCGTATCCGCTATTGGCGGCCAGATTCACTAGACGGCGATTCTCCTCGATGAGATTTTGGCATTCCTGGAATGAAACCAAACGGAAAAGAACAAAAAGCCGATTAACGATCGAGTCATGCCGTGGTGAGATGCGACACAGCTGTCACGAGAGAGAGAAGAACATCAAACCGATATTCTTATGGGACTTTCTTTGCTTTGAAAGTAGGTAGGTACAAAGGCAAATGACACTGGTGCATTGTTTGCCCGTCACGGAGAGCAATGAGTCGTTTCAAGAGGGGGGAATGTGACGTTTTCGCAAGAATTCAAAGGATGAAGCGCGCAGACAAATGGAAGATATCAACATACAAAGCAACAATGGCGTGGCAAATCAATTTCATTTTAATTAAGCCTTTCTTTCGCGTGACACGAGCAGGACACCAACGATGGTTTGGTCGTTTAATCCGTTGCTGTTTGTCGGATGACTTTAGGATGATGGGGAGAACGGGAGTATTGCAATTCAGTAGAAAATGAAAATTGAATTGTTTGCATCGCTGGGTTGCTTCCACTCACTTCGCAATAAAAAAAATGTATTTTGAAATTATGAAATCATTAGATGTTATAATAATATTTTGTACTTGAATGTTACAAAAGGAGCTTGTGGGCACTCATTCTGAGTGAACGCTCACGAGTCGTAAAATAGCTAATTGTGACTCTTTGAACGCGAAATTAACAGGTTTTAAGTATCAAAAGTATGTGTTTGACAGCATTTAAACATTTCAAAATAAAACATAGTTTTGAACATTTTGTCATCATCAATTAAATGTAAACCACTTAACTTTGAAATGAATGACACTACACACTTAGAAATTATTACCGACTTCGGTAATGTTACCGAACTTCCAGCAGCTGAACGTTCGGTAAATCTTTGACTCTTATTATTTTATTTTTTTTCACCATAGTCACTTTAACACTCTTGGGTTATTCGTGACTTGTCCGGGGGTGAGATTTAAACTCGTGACTTTAGCGTGAGAGGTATGGTTTGACCCTTATTTCAAAAGCTGATACACTCAATTTTAATTTTAACGCAGACAACCAGAATGCACGTATGTTCAAAGTTGTTTCTGCGATATACAAACATATATACAAACAATCAAATCGTATAGAATGCAAAAAAGGGCTTATATCTACAAAAGTGGAGGCTATATACGTGCAAATTTTAATTTCTTTTTAAACGAGTTGATTTGACATCATATACGATTTAATCTGTAATAACAAATTCAATTTGAAAAGTCTTACGATGTAATCCGATTTAATTTGTGATACAGTACGATGGAAAAATGCTTCATCGCATATAAGTCGGAAATTTGCATTCTATACGATTTAACTTAAACATAATGCGATGTATGTCATACATATATGCGATGTTGACTTAAACTGTACCTATTTACGATACGGTCTGTATCATTGTTATAAGACTTTTGGTTGTCTGGGAAAACACTGCCAGCATTGTTAGAATAATCGAGTCTTGCTATTGTGGTGAAGTTTTCCTTATTTTGAAGCTTTATAACTAATGAATTAAAATGCATGATTTTTACCGAACAGTTCAGGTGTTGAAAGTTCGGTAAAAATTACCGAAATCGGTAATAATTCCTGAGTGTGTATATTTCAAAGTATGAAACATCTGAACGTAATGTATAAGCGTCCCGAGCAAAGCTGGAGATCAAATTGATATGAAAATATGGTCCCTTATTACCGATGTCACTTCACGGTGAAGTGACAGCTTGTCACTCACGGTGAAGTGATTCCCATTTGATTTACACGGCAATCACTTCACCGTGAGTGACAAGTGATCACTTCACTTCGTTTTCACTGTGAAGTGACACCCGTAATAAGGGCCCGTGGCTGCTATGATGTACCTTATTTCGAATACTCCAGTTAATCTCTGTTTTTTATAGTTGGGCTCTTATTTTTATGCCAATGAATTCTAGGGTGGTTCTTATTATCACTAAAATAAAAAATCTAACTTTTATGATTGAAGAAATTAAGGTATACATTTTTCGGCAAAGTTATAGCTGAGCAAATTACAAGCAACTTTGTAGAAAATAATTTTTTGTATGTCTTAAATTGACCCATTTAGAGCTATTTTCTTGATTGAAATTTGATAAAGGGCATTTTTTAGTATAAAAATGCCAATAATTCTTGATCGGTGAAAGACATTGACAAGCTTTATGCAGCAAAAATATGCGCCTTTTAAAGATCTAAAAGTTATTTCAAGACATCTTTGCTGAGAAATTTGAAAAAAGAAAACTAGAGCAAAACAAATGTTTTATTTCGAGACACCCTAACTCAATTCAAGAAAATATCTCTAAATAGGTCAATTTAGAGATAAAAAAAAGGTTATTTCCACAAAGTTGCTTGAAATCAGCTAAGCTATAACTTTGTCGAAACATTTATACCTTAATTTCTTCAAACAAAATAGTTAGATTTTTTATTTTAGTGATAATGAAAGTCGACAAAGAGAATCGATCAATGTTACTTAGGACCTAATGTAATGTTCAGCTTGAAATTTTAATAAATAGTAACATTAGTGACTTTTTGATGAGTGACTGTTTAGTGATTGACTTTAAAATAATGACCAAGTCACTAAAAAGTGACCTGCTACCAGCCCTGTATGTTAGTAAATTTATAAATGCTTTTCGTTTATGTTAAGTGCAGTCAAGTGCGATGTTAATTTTTTTAAAGATACACTATAAATGGGATAAAGTAGCTATATGCAGCTTATTTTGTTTATGTTATTATTCAACTTTAAAGATTTTTGATCACCTTCGTCAAACCATCAAACAACAATCGAAATATCGATTTTTCTCCACCAGGCTGAATCGATTTAAAATCAGGTCCTGGCAATTCTCTCAAAACTTGAGATCATTTGGATGCAAAGAAGAAGAATAATAAGTCCCAGAATCTTTAAGGATTTGCCTGCAATGTTCAAGTTTTGTCTATGTTCGTGATATCGAAATGCTTTTCCTTGATATCTTTTTTTTTTAAATTAAAGTATTCCAAGAATATCTTCGATAAATCTTCACTAACCAATATTTAAGTCTCTTGACCAAAGCAGCTAATGGCCATCGGAAAACTTCATTGTTATGCAACTCAAGCAAATTTTGAAGCTCGGCGTGATATGGTTGCTAGCGAAACATTGTCAACAAATGTTTTCCATCGAAAAGTATGTATGGGCCCAATATTAGGGACATCAACCCTATTATTATGAGTCTTTGAAAACATGGAGTTGAAGCTTGAACATCGAGAATCTGGAACTTATAAAACAATTGTTTTAGCTGAGTAAGGAGGACGACAGTACAGATTGCGACGAAACGAGCAGCGGGGAAATACTGGATGATCGGCGTAAGTAGATCGGATTGCTAGTAAAGATAAATGAATTCCGAGTTCCAGGATGCTTCCTCTCGAGAATCGGAACTACACCAAAGGATGCACACCTCCTTTGAACACATGAGCCTACATAATCGGGTGGTTCAAAATATTGATTTTGCTGCATCCCACTCAATCAATTCAGCACATTTGATTTCGATCTCATACTGCATTAGCCTTTGGGATTTTCATACCAAAAACACTTCGTTGAGTGTATTAAATCGATTCCTTAGTTTTTCCGCTTCAATTTGTTCATATTTAAACGACTGAGTAAACGCATTTTGCTAGGTTTTTCTAAAAAGGAATTTTTGAAATTCAGAAAGATCCTCCAATTAACAGGCCAAGTTGACTCAACACACATAACATATGTGGAACTCGATAATCAAAAATCGACCCCATTTCAGTGATTTCAAGTGGTATAGAAAGGTTTATAATTCTCTGTCTTCTTAGAACTTTTGAACTTATGTGTTTTTTTTTTTTTTTTTTTATTATAGTGATTTTTAGCCATAGGCTAGTTCATCTCTTGTTTGAACTTATGTCTTGGTTTTTCCTTAACTATTTACGTCCTTTATTAATAACTATATAGCTAGCTCCTCACCTCGTGTCACGCAGCAAACAAATATATTAACGTTTGCAATCAAAAAATTATAAATTTTTCTGCGATTTTGTATGCAATGACCTGCCACCCAACGATTAATCCTGAAATGTCATTGTAAACCATACGTATTGTTTTTCTGTAGTTATGACAAAAGAGTGGGGAAATTCCACGCCAATACTTCTTCTAATATTAGATCTTTTTGTATATTTAGAAGAAAAATGTATGTACCATTTTTTTCGTTAAACTTTTTTTAAATGTTTGGAGCCAATTGCATCAACCTTTGATTTCATTTTGGATTCGTAGGAGGAAAAATACGACTCCGCAAATTAGGAGTTAAGTGCATACATTTTGAAGTCCAAAGAGAAGCAGCATCATTTTACAACAAGTGTCCCGGTTTATGCGGAAATTATGCAGTGTTTTGAGCTGACCATCGTTCCATTCGCAAGAATTTCGCAAGCAGAACGATAAATCAAATCGAGTGCTTATCGATACCTGTAATACCTAAGGATTCAATCCTCCATATGCTTATCAGCTGCGGCCAATTTAAAATGTTTTGACCAAAGGTTCTACTACAATTATTTTGCTCTAAAAACGTGGAAAGATTGATCGAAAAGGCAAAGAAAGGGAACGGCTATAATTTCTAGCAACAATAAGCACTATTCACAAACGAAAGTAATCATTTGAATCTATTTTACATAGGATAAGTGTACAAGTATTGGCACTAGTGGTCCAGTTTTTGGCCATGTTAGAAAATTTATTTAATGGCTTTATTTGCGTAGATTTCTGCCAAAACATATGTTCTTACCTTGTATCGAAACAAATTTAGAATTTTAAAATGTGAAGCTTAAAATAAGGTCAATTCGACGACCACTACACAGTGGTTCCCCTTAGAACAAAAGTTTGCCAAAACCTCAAAATTTTTGCAAATAGACATAAAACAGTTGAAATAGATGTTTTTTTAGCTGTACGAAGAAAACTTGACAATCAAGACGTCACAAAAAGGAGTATAGTAGAGCCAGAACCAATGCACAATGGTCCCAAAGCCGTATTTAGGAAGACAA